GAGAAGTGCCAGCAGAGGTCTGTGTGTGAGGGCCAGGTGACCCCCTGTACCTGGGGAGAGAAGTGCCAGCAGAGGTCTGTGTGTGAGGGCCAGGTAAGCAGGGGTCCTCGGATTCAGAAGGGCTCCCTGGGAATTCAGTCATGAGGGATCTCCCTGAAAATGGCGGGTGCTAGGAGGAGGGAGGTGGAAGAGGACCAAGGTATCTCCCTGGGCCTTCCTCCAGGCCTGCTTTGCCAGAATCAAGCACATATGTGGGTCCCCACCTGGCCCCTCAGGTCTGGCCTCATGATTGAGAACTTGGGCTTATGGGTCGGGGAGCAATTCATTGGCACCTCCAGGCCTGTAAGGGGCCCACCTGTATTGGTTACTTCAAAGATCCAGCAGAGGGAAAACTGCGTGAGCTTTGGGATGCCACAGCCAGTAAACTGGCTGCAGTGGAGTCGATTCCAACTCACAGCGACCCCGTGTGTGTCGGAGGAGAACTGTGCTCCACAGGGTTTTCAATGGCTGATTTTTCAGAAGTAGATCGCCAGGTGTTTCTCCCGAGGTGTCTCGGGGTGGATTTGAGCCTTCAGCCTTTCAGTTAGCAGCCCCGCTTGGTAACGGTTAGCACCACCCAGGAACTCCCACAAAGCCAGGTTCCCACCCCTGCTCCTCCACGCAAGACCATGAAGGCCTGGACAAGTGAACGAAAGTCACCGAGCCTGACCCCACCCGCTGTGTCCACTGGGACGCGAAGTGCAGGCCACAGGGAAGAGGCAGGAATCGGTGATGTGGCTGAGACTTCCGGGACAACTGACTTTCCCTATTTTAAGGTATGAACTTATTTCTTGAAACGCCAGTTTCCTGCACTGGAGCCCCGGCCACAGTGGCTCAGCCAGCTCACCCATGTGAAGAACCCGTGCCGTTCAGAAATCAAACGCTGGCTGCGGGGACGTCAAGAGGTGAGACACATACCGCGTTCTTCACGATGTGCTCAGAGGCCTTGCTCTCAATCTCCCCGACCGTGTAGGACGGCACGTTCAGACTGCAGGGGTGGCTGTCACCGGACATTAGCAGCTGGTAATACTCTTCGTTAGCTGCAGAGAAGTGAGGCTCCCGTTAGTACAGGGAACAGAGGGGTGGCCAAGAGCTGCTGGGACTGGGCACTTAACCTCCCTCAGAGGAAAAAGTGGGGTTCGCAAGTTATCATCCTGGGACACAGGGACATGACGGCAAAACAAACATACAGAAATCTGGAGATTTTTCCTGGAAAGTCAGAAGACCTTTGATCATAGAATTTTTAAAATGACAAGTTATTTTAGATCATATGGCCACAGAGTTCCACCCACTTTCTCCAGTAAGGTTTGCAATTGGGGTGCAGCCCCTGCACTTTACAGAGGACCCCTGCAGCAGTCCCTCCCTGAGCCCTCAGTGACCCTGCCCAGACAGAACTGGCTATGTAAGAAAATATGAGGCATGAGAAACCACATTTGAAGGGAACTGCTCAGGACAGAATCTGGAGATGGGGCCACCCTGTCTGTGCACCCCTCGGCTGAGGGCTTTGGGGTAACAAAGCCTGTCTCTGACAT